TAATACTACCGTCCAATCGGAATGCAATTTCAACTGAGAAAAACGGAAAAGAAACTCCTGTTGCTTGCATCGCTTAAACATCGCTTAAACTCGTACGTTTAATAGAGAGAAATTTCGTACAAAAGTAGTCTATTTAGTTGCCTTTATGCAAACTGCCACTCAATTTTCTGCAATGAAGCAACTGTCCTAACATAACAATGTATAACTAGTACCATGGGCGTCACAGAACATTCTGTGATGTTCAAGGGGGCGATCAGATCGGCAACGGTCACCATTTTCCATCAGATACGAGTAGGCCATTAGTTTGTTTGCTATTCTTAAATAGCACAAAAAGAGAAATTGCCGACCCTTATGTTACGAATATCTTAAGTCACGTAACCAGTAAATAAATATTATTTCTGAGTTCATACAACATACTTCTTCGGAACTTTATAGATCCTAATACCTATTATTAACTATCTATGTTATTTTATTATGATTGGATTTAGTCATAAAGCTGTATAACTTTATCGTTCTTACGTGAACAGAAACCTGTACCAACGCATTAGCCCTATCAAAAGTGTAGGTAAGTTTACTGAAAGTATAGCTTACATGAAATGGTAGCCAGTTATATTTACGTACTTATAAAACATTTCTGATGCTCTAAGGTTGTTTAAAATAGCAAATTAGGTGAAAATTGTCCCACATCACGGCGATCAGTAGCAGGGGATCCACTATGAAATAGCGGCTGAAAGTTTGAACATTTTCCACTACGAAGTTACAAATTAGTTAATTGAATTTAGGCGATTGGTTCAACCAAAATATATTTGACATTTGATGTGAGTAAGCCATCATCATCATTATATTTATATTAGCCGTTAATTGTACACTGCTGAACATAGATATCTTCCATATAGGGGAGATTTGGCAGTAGTCGCCACCCTTGACAAGCGGGTTGACAACCACAGACAAACCTTGGTGATATTTTCAAATGGACACTGCTGTCCATCCCATGGCCATTAAATTCCATTACGACACCCATGGGAATGAAAGAGAAAGGGGTGGCCCATTCTATACCAGGATCACACGGTAAAGGAGAATAAGTTATACTTATATTCAAATTTTGCAAGAAGAGGACATATTGATTGCCACAATATGATATCAATATTTTTGATGTAGTTTTTTTTTTACAACACAGGGGGCAAACGAGCATACGGCTCACCTGACGGTAACTACCGCCGCCCATGATCACTCACAATACCAACGGCATTGCAGGTGTGCTGCCGGCCTTTTAAAAAGGAATATGCTCTTTTCTTGAAGGTTATGATTGTTTTGATTATTAAATGAAAAATAATTATTTAATAGTTTATGTTCATCTTTCAATCTGTCCCACAGATGTCTTATTGGTCCTCGACCATAGATAATCAAGATAAACAACAATGATGTCGTATCGGTTCGAAAATACTGTCTAGATATCTTGAAACAGATTCTGCTCACTATTCAACTGTAATATCTAGACCAGTATCGGCATAATGGGCCAGTTTGGGGGGCTTCTTATAATGCGATTGAACACAACTACGGCTAACTAGTCTGTCATACTCGTAAACAGACGCTGTTTATAGTCTAATATGTTCAAATATACTGCGACTGTAAATTAATTATTAATATACCTACTGTATATAATAGTTATCGCCATTGCCGTGTGATCCTAGCATAGAATATCTATATAACTATCATTTCCTTATCTGTTGGTGTCGCAAGAGGCGACTAAAGGAAAATAATAGTCAAGGGATGGGCAGTAACGTCCCTCTTAAAACAACACCAAAGCCTAACTGCGGTTACCAATCCGCATGCCAAACGTGGCAACTACTAGCAACCCCCTTATTAGGAATATCCATGTTACCAACGATACAATAAAAATAATCATTAAATTATTTTTTTATAACTTGTATAATTCAACTTTTTTTGTAAAAAAAAAACAATAAGATGAGTTCCTCACTTCCTTATTAGATGAAATTGTATTCCAATTTGCACGGCAAAAATCATAAACAACTATTAATGAAAAATGCATAGGTTTACCTGAATGAAAAATACTTGTTTTCTATTTATACGTCAAACAAACATGAGTGGGCCAATAATTTGAGTTACAGTAATGCAAAGCTTAGTGGAATACCATTCGGATCCAATCATTCTGATTTTTAATTTCAGAGTAGATTCCCTGAATAACCACTAAGGTTACTAATGCCCATTTGACTGAAGAATACTAACCATGTCATATGTTATACTTATAAAAGAAGAATTAATTATAATTATGAAAAAGTTTTACATTTTCCACGACAATATCGTATGTGTACACGGAAATTTATACAAATAAATAGGTATATATTGAATATATATTGTTCTAGAGTAGTAATATCTATATTTATAAATAATTTATTCTGACTGACTATCGCACAGCCAAAGTTAATAATTCCAGAATGCTGAAATAATAATTAATTATATTTATTTTATAACCTAAGCATACGCTAAGAAAGATTTTTTTATTACCTTGTGTGCAAAGGCGTAGGCAACAATTAGTATATTATACAAAATGAAATTGAAATATATATTTGCGGCGTTTGGAGTTGAAACTCTGGGTCCGTGGGGCCCCGAGGCAATGAAGCTTTTCAAAGAGATTTCACGCCGGCTGGTGGAAACCTCTGGTGACCAGAAGGCTGGTCTATACTTTGGTCAACGCATTTCCATTGCTATTCAGCGTGGAAATGCAGCAAGTATCCTAGGCACCCTACCAGCTGGCAGTGATCTCACAGAAATTTTTTATCTTTAAATAATTTTTAAAATTTTTAATTACTTTTTCTTGTTATTTGTAAATAAATATTTAGGATAATATTTCAACAAGTAATGTAAAATTTGTTACTGACTAATTGAAATCGTTTTAAAGGAGTCTATTGGTGAAACAGACCAAATTTCATTTCAATTTTTTTAAAAAAAATTTACTTCCTATTATATACTATTAGACGTAGGTACCACTCATACTTGTATGTGTAACTTAATTGTTTGCTGTCTATTGACCTATCTTATAAAAGTATATTCAGTTTTACTTGTAAAATATTCTTTTAATAAAATTTGAGCCTCAGATATGCTTAACCACCTGTCAAATTAGGACAAGCCCGCGTATAAAATATGTTCACTGCCACTGACAGAACACTCCCTTAATAATGTAATATTGTGATCTACAAAAAAAATCAACTTCACTTGTGGCATTATGTCATTTTATTTTCATTTAAAAACAAAACTATTAATTTTGATAAAATTTCTATGGGACTAATCTGTAAGTAAATCTTTTCAGATAAAAAAAGAATTTTCCAAATCAGTTTCTAACTAACGGAGTTATGGGGTAACAAATATAAAAAAAAAAACAAGTAATTTGAAAAACTCCTTTTTGAAACCGGTTGAAAATATTAATGATTTTGATTTCATAGTATAATCTCTGTCTATCATCATCATTATTATTTCAGCCATTATCCGTCCACTGATGGACATAAGCCTCCCCCATAGACTGCCATAAAGAACGGTCCTGAACCACCTGCATTTACTGACTCCCTGACTCTCTGTCTATAAGTAGGTACGTATCTATAAGATCCTTTCAAGATGACTTTGAATACATTATTAGTTTAACACTTCAGCAATCTCTCTATAGTATAAGGAAGCATTAGATTCTCAAATCCTCAGAGCAAACTATGCATTACAGCTAGTTCGTGGCTTGTTTGATTAGTTAACTAACTTGGTGCAGTATCGGTAGGTATACTGTGTATAGATTGGTAGATACTCGTGCGATTCTTCCAATTTCGATATAACAGTTAAAGAGTGTCGCTTTATGAAATACTTTGTCTATATTGACTGGAACCTAAACCCATAATTCTGAGTACAAATCAAAATTTTCTGTCAATTAACATTTTCGATTAAATATTGTGGTAATGGTAAGCACTGTTAACAATAAAATTTAACCGACAAATGGTAATAGTACCTACTCTAGGCCAACCTAAACATATAGGGGAGAAAGGGATTGTTAGTAATGGAGAATGAGAATCCTATTGCTAGCAATATACCCAACCAAATCGACCTCCTCGCGGTTCTCCCTAGAAACTATCATCGTCAATTCCTGATGAATTCATCATGATGGGCTAACTGGCCTGTTTTCATTCTCATCTGTTACCCTTCACTGGTACTCCGCCAGCGTATCCCGTTAGCGCAGGCGGGGTTACCATATAATTTTCACCCATCAAAAAAAAACCTAAACATATGCAGCACGAACTAACTTCAAAAATTAAATGTATAATTATCGCATGAATTGATTATTGACATGTTACAAAATAATAGGTAATATATCGATAAAATTAAGACTTAATGTTTAATTATAATTTTCAATCCCATATAGTAAAACCGACGCGAAAATCAAAACCGTATAACCATAGTCCCTTTGAATTTAATGATACATTAAATTACACATTTTTAACATCTGCCTTTAAGCTGGAATTATTTGAGGTTTTGCTCAGCGAAATAACAGTGGCTTCAATCGTGATAAAAATAATTGGGCTGGAACAAACACTGGAGAAATTTTGAAAATAAATGATCAAAATCGCTTCGAAATTGCGATATAACATAATGTAATAATTACACAAAAACAAGTCGGTACGGACAAGAAAACTTCGTTATTTTAGATCGTACACAGGAAATAAATACATAGTAGTAATACTATTTCTATTTAATATTCATAACGAATTGAAAGTTTCACCAAGTGCTAATAATTGGCAATATTGACTTAGGTTGCAGTGGCTACTCCATCAGCATTTCTCAATGGTACAGTTTAGAGTAGATACCATCTATAGGTATATTTTGTTACTGTAGGTCAAAATATACGTTTGGCATCCTATAGGCGTAGCTCAGAATGATAATTTAATCAAAGTTAATTACGAATATCCGTAGAAATTCACGAAGTTCTAAAGTTTAAATTTTAAAAATATATACTCACAACTGTAATCCCTATTAACCCTAGAACACTAAACTTATTTTTCAACGCTTATTACTAACCTTCGTCGTTTCGACTACGCTGTCAAAAAAGTAGGTTTATAAAATTTTATTGAATAAAATACTTATTTCTTTTACAATATTTGTTTATTACAATCATTTGTTAACAAAAATATAACATTCTTATTTAATTAAATCACATATTTATTACATAATCAGCCTTTGTGCTGAGACCATATGTTTCGCTCTAAATAAAGATATTTGTTTTTTTTTAAGCGCTTATCTCTTAAAAACTAGAAAAAAAACTTTGAAAAAGAAGTCAAATAATCAAAATTTAAACATCGAATCAACAAAAAAAGTAAAAATTTTGGTAAAAAACTATGAACTAAGACATTTGTGACACATATCAAATTTGTGTTCACCACACACTGATTTATTGCACTCGTAGCAACTAGTTTTCGTCATCCTTTGCTGATGGGCATACGGCACAAATTTTTCTTTTTTTTTTTGCGATAGGATGACCTGTAGCTTCAGTTTCAAGTGTCAAACTCGATCTACTACTTCCTGGCATATTCAAAATTTGTGTAATCGAATCGCGCAGGCCAGTTTGAAGTGTGGGCACAAGTATACGTTTTTGCATATGTGGCTCGACTAACTTGTGATGCAAAATTTTTGTATTTTTCAGATTTTATTACAATCTCAGCATTAGTATAAGTGAAAATTATATTTACTATATCATCTGTAATAAAAGACGAAAAGCAACGTAAAGGATCTAATTCATTTTTACACATACGAGTGGGGCCTGGTCTAATATGCACAATGTTTCTTGCGACTGTTCGGCCTTGTGACTTTGGCTTTAACGATGACCATTTGTGCTTATATTTTCCGCGAAGTATGTTACGCGATGGTATAATAATCAATTCGTTAGGTTCTTGTGCCGAAGTACTTGGTATCTGTTCTTCAATTGATGCCAAGTCCAAAGACGAAATTTCATCCTCACTCACTGATACATAAGCCGAATCAACCTCGATGTGGTCTTCCTTCTCACTCTCTGACGAATTTTCTTGGTCACTATTATCTTCTAATAATAGTTGAAGAATCGTATCTAAAATAGAACAATACTACACATTACTTTTATGTTGTAAAAACTAAATAATAAACTTAAAATATTACAAACACAATAGTACAAAATATATCGTTATTACTAACCTTCGTCGATGCGACGAGTCATGGTTGCTGGTCCGGCGCTCACAAATCTCTTACACAAAAAACACTACCGTGTATCGCGGGGGCACCGGGCCATCTAAGATTACACGAGAGTTGCAATGGATGCGATCGCGCACTCAAAATTTACGGCACCTGTTTCGAATTCGTGTCGTCGATTCGACGAAGCTTAGTGATCTAGGGTTAAGGTAGTTAAAAACATGTATTTTATTATTATGATAAACGTATGCACATACCAACTTCACTCTGTTTGTGTTGATTATAAGTCAGTCTTCCGAGAGTTTGAAGAATAGGTATTAGCCAGGTTTGAACTCGTCGTGAGATTTTCAATACATCATTCAACCAGACATCACAATTCCACCACATCTCTACTGGCAAAACAGCCCCAATGAGAGCCTAAGTGCAAAAAATGGAGTCCCATTACACTACTTTACATTTATTACCAATAGACCACGTCTCTTTGATTTTTATTTTTTTTTTAAATAGAAATCTCAGCTAATAAGTAGTACAATAGCTGGTTTAATTCTGTGTATATACGTTGTTAACAACGCTTCCGTCGTCGCCGTTCGGATCGTGGGAGATTGAAAAGTAAACGGATTCGCCACACGTTTGTTTCGTTTATTTTCCCCGAGAATATAAACAGGGCCGTCGGATACAACAAGAAAGGGGGGGGGGGGGGGGGGGGGGGTGTTCTAATTTACCTTTTATTTTTCAAGTTTTATACTACATTTTTTTATGCAACTTAAAATGGCAGACAAGCTGACATCCCACCTGATGGAAAGTGGTAGCCGTCGTCTATAGACAGGCAGTACCATGGACATAACAGAGTATACTATTTCGCTCATGATACCCCCCATGCGTTACCATTATTGAGGACTCAGGTGTTATTCCTCTGTACCCCGTAAATTCACTGCCATATCCCACCCTTTAAAGCGAAACTCACACAATATATTTATTTTATTTATTTAATAATATATTTTATTTTATTTTTTATTTATTAATATACCGGAGGGGATAATATATGGATTTTTAGTAAGAGGGTCCAACAATCCCCTTGCTAGCAAGATACACCATCAGGTCGACTTCCACGCAGTTCCCAGTATAAAATAACATGGTTAATTCTAGTGGAATTCATCACGTTGGCAAAATGATCTAACTTTATCTCACCCATCATCCCTCACTGGTGACATCCCCGCCACGTATACTTGCGTGGGGTTACTATTTTATTTTTACGTATTAAAAAACTATACAGGCAAAGTCATTATGATTAATAATCTTTTAAGTGAGAGTAACCAGTGACACTAAACATTTTCGTAAACAAACAAAAATAGAAATAAGAAAAAATAATGCTGAGATTCCCATACTAACACGGCACATTCAGCTATGAAATAAGTATTAAAGTTCTAATTTATTATTTTTTGTTTTCGACCATTGATTCTTTAAAAAAAATTTTTGACCCACTGGATAGAAAACGGTCGCCGTCGCCTATAGACCTGAAATATACCTTGGACATAACAGTATATACTGTGTCGCCCCAAAAGAAAATAATCACCTGGATATCAGCCTGTCTAGCACTAACAGGGACAGTACCTACATATAACAACCTTTGCATATGAAACTATTAACTGAAAAAGATAAAGGGCATGGATAGATTAGGTTTTAAATATAATTTTATGAAGCCAATACATGTTTTCTCATTATTAATTGACTTTCTCTTTAAAGTGAAATAATTTAATGTTGTCTAGACTGATTTAATTATTACTATTATCTAAGTAGGTACTATTAATGAACCAAAATTATTTTAAACTTTAATTAATTTTAGAGTGGTACATTCCTTTATTTATCAAATATTAATGTAATCATAATAAAATACTTTAATAATCAAGGCTAATTTTTATTATTATTTCAGCCGTTTTGCCAATAGTTGCCATGCTTGGCAGGCGGGTTGGCGACCGCAGTTATGCTTTTAAAGATGGTTTAAGAGGGACGCTGCTGCCCATCCCTCGCCCTTCCTTAGTCGACTCTTACAATACCCACGGGAAAGGAAGGGGTGGCCCATTCTATGCTGGGACACACATGGCGAAGCTAATAAGGCACGAATCGAAGCTAATAATATATATATATATATATATATATATATATATATATATATATATATATATATATATATATATATATATATATAAACTATTAATACAAATACATTATTATGCCACTTACATATCAATGTATTGTATACATATAAAAAGATATTCCAAAATTATATACCAAATATGCCAAGTATAAAAAAAAGAGATTACCATGCAATTTCAGTTTAAAAAAAATTCAAATAGGTATTAACAGCAGTGGTTAATCAGATATCAATGTATCTGTGTAATATCTAATTAAACACTGATAAATTACAGACATAAACAATTAAAGATGTTATAGTTAAGTAATTATGTATCTTAATGGTTCTGAGATGGGCAGCAACGTCCTTCTTAAAACATCACCAAAGCCTGTCTGCGGTTGGAAACCCGCTTGCCAATCGTGGCAACTACTGTCAAAACCCCCCAAGGAAGAGGCCAATGTTCAACAGTGTACAGTTAACAGTTGATATGTATGTAACGTATATATGTTATGTGTTATAATAGTATCAAAAAAAAATAGTTTTTAAGAAAAACTTTACGGTACTAATATTTTGCTTAATAATACAACATACATATAAACAAGTACTTAATGACGAGTGTGCATGGCAATAGTTGTTCATGCACTGAATTTTCATTTAATGTTAGACATAGACACCTATATAAATATACATTGTAAATAAACTGGCTTTAAAAAAAAAAGTAATTCAATTGAGTTTCTTGCCAGTTCTTCTCAATTGGATCTATATACCGAACTGGACGGTAGGGAAAATATAAAATTATAATGTAAAAATTTGACGTTCATAAGCGGCTAAAATGTCCTACATGAATAAATGATTTTTGAATTTTGAATTTTAAATTTTGAATTTTATTCTATACGATTTAAAGTTTATGAACTTTTCTTGTATAAAATGTTAAATAGCATCATTATGTAAAACTTGAGAAGATGAACGATAGTGGAATGGCAGTGTTGTAATAATTACAAAGCTTAGAAACAAGAATTATGAGAGAAACGGATAATTTTAGACGCGACAATAAATTGCGCACTAGACTAGCCTTAAAGGAAATAAATTATTCGAGATATCACGTTATTATAGCACTCGTTTAAATGTGCTTAAATCATAATAAATATAACTTACGATAGAATACTTTATTATCAACGTTTTACCATAGATAATTGAACTTTAATTCACTTAGACAATGTAAAAAGACCTAACACCATACGACAAGGGGGAAAAGGGATTGTTAGTAATGGAAACTGAGAATCCCATTGCTAGCAATATACCCAACCAGATCGACCTCTTCGCGGTTCCCCCTAGAAACTATCATGGTTAATTCCTGATGAATTCATCATGATGGGCTAACTGGCCTGTTTTCATTCTCATCTATCACCCTTCACTGTTGCTCCGCCAGCGTATCCCGTTAGCGCAGGCAGGGTTACCATACCATTTTCACCCATAAAAAAAAACACCATACAACATTATCTACGAGGAATAACAGAAAATATTAATTGATAGTTCAACATAATGAGCGACAAAATACAAAGATTAATTTACATATCATATAAATTAAAATGAATTATTAATAATTTTAAATTCTATCTATCTCTAGACTGTATCTCATTTTTTAAGTAAATATATAACAATTATTATATTTATACTAACTTATCGTTAACTAAATAAGTAGGTACGGGGTTTTTTTTAGTAAATAAGTAAGTGAATAAATATTTACATGTAATCAATCTGTAAGTATACAACGTTTCATTAGTTCTCTCCACCAGAATAAATAAGAGGTGATTATTAAAAAAAGCACAATGCAACTAAAAAAAGGAAAATTAAAATGTTCTTACTATAAAACATTTATTTGTTTTCCTTTTGTTTCGTTGTATTATGCTTGTGAGATTATATTTTGCGTATTTAAAAAAAATTAAAATAATAACTGAGCCCGTATTTGTTCTTTTCTATTCATACACATTCGTTACAACTATGATCTAATGAATACTATATCGAATGTAAAATTTATATACTTTTTTATCTATTTTCATACATGTTACATATGCATCACGTACTCATATACAAACGGATTTTCTTAATGGCAAAATAAATAATAAAAAATACATAGCATGCCCTGAGTCCAGCTCTGTGCTGTCGTTTGTTTTTATTACAACAATATGCTCGTTCTAAAACCCCCTTTTCTCTAGGGTTACAATAGCGTTGATACGGTCAGTGCCCGTGTCCTTTTTCAGAACGAGATTAAAGCTTTGGGAGATTAACGAAGAATTGTGTTTACTATCTGAACATTTCAAGAGTTTTACAGGTACCAGTCTTTGTTACACTATTTATTATTTAACGAATAAATCGATCTAAAAACAATCACTGGCCAGTGAATTGCAGGTATTTTCTCACTTCATGTAGTGATCAATTACAAACAATAAGACAGACATAGCTGATGAAAAGAACCCCAACAAGTTAATTTTGTCGCGCAAATAAAAAAATATGACTGCCCTGCCAAAAACAATTATAATCATTGTAGATAGTAGGTATTTAAAAGTTCAGTATGATGACCATAAATTAGAACTCAGTGTTTTAACTATATCCCATTTATCTAAAATTATTCAGGGTTATACAAATTATAGTAGAGTGAATAATGCCAAATACGTTATACGAACGCTGATAAAGTTTGACTTCGTTTTATGAGCAATAATGTAAAAAAACCTACCCAAAATGCATGTTGTGTGAGCTAAACAATGAATCTATACTGCTACAGAAATAATTAATTTAGTCAAGTCAGTGAACTTTATCGTAAACTCTCTGGTTACAAGAGCCATTCTATTCTATCTTAGCGTAACCGCAATCACACCGCATGTTTTGGTAGTGTCAGCAAAACAAACGGATATTTACACAATTACCCAACTGCTGAAAAAAATAATGTTTCTCGGATGTACCTTAATGTGTGATGTATGAATGT